CAGCTCGCAGGAGGTAGCGAGTTTTCATTGTGTTCGGAGCTTAAACATTAGGCGCGCTCGACTGCCAAACATGGGTGATCTGTAGCTGCTGATTGGCTGAGCACCCATGTTCGACGGATGTTGCCACAATGTCCGACCAACATGTTCGAGCTCCGAGCATGATCAAGAAATGTTATTTTCAGTGACCGATGTTTTCCATGTGGTTGGCGCTCCACCTTTGGGCATTTCCCGCAGAGATAAGGGAGTCGATGTCACACAGGAAAGTCAGTGTGACCGCATTTTCGACTCGCAGCTCCAGAAACTCGCATTTTCTCTAGCGTCCAAAGGCGCATCTGCGGCGCAGAACTTTCTGCGAGCCCAACTGCGTCAACATTGAACTTCCCTAATCTTCATTAGCCGCTACTCACCAATCTACGCTCTGGGCAATTTATTACATCCAAAACCCGACTAAGAGCAAGCACTATGGATGTCTCCGAAATTCTAGCTGCTCATGTGGCGAAGCAGTACGTTGCACACCACACCTTTTGGGAGCGATGTCATTGAATAGTTACTTAGGAAGCTTATCACGGTCGAGAAAGACATTCCCCTTGAGATCGATGCCGGGTTTTTGACTGTCACCGATCTGAATCCTGGTGATGCTGAAAGTTATGAGTAAGTCTCATGAGTGTTTGTTGTACATTTGATTGTCACACATGTACCCCCAGTGAGAGCCTCGAAGAATATCTTCTCTCTACTGCCCGTGATGGAGTTCAAGCCCTCGTCAGCTCCCTATTTGCGCTACCAATAACATCTTCTGCCGATGGCCCTCTCGCACGACTTCCTTCACCAACGACCCAGCTACCTAGAGCAAAACCTTTACCCAAGCCAAAGCCACTAACGAAGTGGGAGAAATTTGCTAAAGCTAAAGGAATACAAAAGCAGAGGAAAGACAAGAAAGTATGGGATGAGGAAAAACAGGAATGGGTTGACAGATGGGGGTGGAAAGGGGCAAACAAGCGGGAGGAGACCCAGTGGTTGTCGGAGGTACCTGCGAATGCCGGTAAGTCCAGCTCAGTTCTTGTGAATTGAGAGAGTTGTTAATGTATCGTTTCGCACAGACGCAGATTATGATCCCGCAAAAATTGCACGCGGTGCTCGAAAAGAAAAGATGGCGAAGAATGAGCGACAACATCAACAAAATTTAGTCCGGGCTCAAGCGGCGAATATGAACTCGAGTACATCGGATAGATTTGAGCACAAAAAGGGAATAGACAGGACACTGGCTACTGCGCGGACGAGCACGGCGAGCATGGGTCGATTTGACAGGACACTAGACGGCGAGAAGAGGTTGAAGGGTCTAAAGCGGAAGGTGTGTCTCATGATTGCGAGAAATTTCATCCATCGTCACGATCAATCTTTATCCCATGCAGTTTTCAGCCGCTGAGGTTTCTGCTACTGCAGAGAAGTCGCAAAATCTAGCAATACTCAAGAACCTGGATCGTGAACCTATTATGAAGAAGGCTAAGTCATCGAAAGAAGCTGGAGGGGACGTGCTCAATATCAGAAAGGCTATCAGATCAGTGAGTAAAGGCAAAGGTAATGCCACACTCGCACGAAGTAGTACGAATGCGAAGACGAAAAGGGGGAGAAGATGATCTTCATCTCCGTCGTCCTAGCTTGAGTCTCGGATGCGACGTTGTTCTGCCTGTTTCCTTCTGCAGCACATTCTCCGCGACATCACCGCACGTGTATGGTTGCTTCAGTGCACCGATCTTGTTTGTAGAGCAACGAACGTGATAATATTACAAGAGATATATGTACAACAACATTGTACGGGATAATATAGTAATGGATCCATGACTCCCACCTCCTTCGTGGTCACCGTCTTTCATTTTGAGAAGCTGTCCACGGGCAAGCGACTCAAATCTGCCTTCCCCTCTTTGACCCATTCCTCCTTCACCAGCTTCTCCTTTTCAGCATAGTATAACCGGTACACCAATTTTATTGTTCCCTCGCTGACACCAGCCACCGTGCTAATGTCCTTCGCGCTCTTGACTTTGCCAAGTAGATGGCAAGTGAAATAAATGGCCCCACCTGCAATTGACACAGGCGATCGACCGTCCGCGATGCCTAGTTCGCGCGCTTGGATGATGATATCGGAGCAAATGGGTTGAACATTGGGCGGTAAATCTAAGTGGTTGCAGTATCGGACTAGGAGATCCTCGGGCCCTCTTGCTGCGGCCGGTGTGGTTAAATGACGGTCTGTCGTGGCCGACGCACCAGGAGTCAGATTGAACGCTTGCTCAAGCGCCTTGTAACACTGCCCAAGCACCTTTTTGCTAACGTGGGTAAGATTGCAAATTTCACGAAACGTGCGCGGAACATGCGCTTGTCGGCACGCTATAAAAATACACGCAGCGATGACCGCATCAAGCGGTTTGCCACGAAGTAGTTTTTCCTCGTCTGAACGCTTGTATAATTGTTTCGCGATGTCTGAGATGGTCTTGGGCAATGAAAATTGATCGCACCACGAAGCGATGTCCCGAAATGCTTGCAAGAGGTTACGCTCAGATCGCGAGGCCTGGGAGCGAGATGCTGCACGCTGAAGTTCGCGCGCGATCCCGGATCCACCATCCCGAAATGATATCGTCGTGTCCAGTTGTTCCATGCCCTCCATGAGAGGATCGGATGCCGCTCCAACACGCGATGGGTCGTCACCTTCGTCATTGGCGAATGTCTAAAATATGTGAAGGCAAACATGACTGCGATAAACCGAGCTCAGACAGCTGGGCTTACCCTCCATTCGCTTCTGGTATCAACTACCCTATCTCCTAGCACTAGTCCACAAGTACCACACACAAGGTCCCCACTACTAAACTCTTCGACGATGGCAGGATTTGGATCCCTGCACTCGGGACAGATTAGTCGCACGGCAAGGTCAGGACCGTAGGTTGGCGGCTGCACTTTTGGGGGAGGCTGAGCCAGTGGGAAGGGCTGTGAGTATGCCATGGACGATGGGGTGAAAGTAAGGAATGAATGGGATGAACAGAATACTGGCACTGAGACAAGCGAATGGACCGGCTCCAGGTAGACGTTTGCTCCAGGTGTTGAACGGTGGCCTGTCCACATGGAATTATCACATACAATACATTATGCAGCATTAACATACCGAAATCCAGCCCCTAAAGACAATTGCGTCAACCTCGAGCAGATGAACCTCTAGCGACAATAAGGAGAAGGAGAAAGAAAGCAATGAGCGAACGCTAAACGTATTACGTGACTAAAAATAGCGTTCCGCCACGTGACATAACAAAACCTTAACCATAAGGCCTCCCATGAAGCCAATGATGGTACTTGGGACAAAACAAAGCCAAATTTGTGAGGCTCTCTTCTGTGCCACCACCATCTATTCTCATAGACCAGCTCTGTAGGCTCTGTTACCCAGCATGGGCAAATGGTCATACACATCTCAAAATATAATAAGCCTCTTTCTGATAAAGTATTCACAGGACACTTGCACACCAAGATGAGGTCCTCAAAACTAAAATGAAAAGCCTAGTGTACGTCGTAAGATATTATGGGCGATTGTTACTCACAAACGATGACCAGAAATGGCGCAGTGAATAGAATGAAGCTGGAAGGATCGGAGCCGCGCATTTCCTATGAACATTTTGTAGACGACCTTGACGTGGGCGATTCGTTTACTACTACCCTTCTCGAAGTTCTTGTTAAGGTATGCAATTATTATTGGCACATGATGTGCGCGATCCAAATGCTCATATGTAATGAATATTGTAGGAAATGGCAGATCGCCGCACACGAAATAGTGCTATGGACCGACGGTTAATCTCCGAACGCACCGCGAAGTGTCTTAGGATGCAAATATCTCCTCTGCATATCTATCGGGGCCGTCGTAGTGTACATCGCTTTGCTGGAAGATCTGCTTACCTTGGCCCCGTGTATCCAGAAATGGCAGCAGAGTTCACGGATGAGGAGGATGAGCATGGAGATAACCGTAGCAGTCACAGCGACGCTGATGGTCCTCTTGAAGGTGTACGGCTCAATGGCGATCTCTACGACGCGTATTCCCGTGCGTCTCACGCGTCGTCTACATTTGACCTTCTCGATACCTTGCGTCAAGTAGAGCCGACTCCCCTGGCTACCGGCTCCCCAGATGCTGCAGAAGGCGGCCGAGGTCAGTTCTTTGTGACTAGTCCTCGCCCCGTCTCTCCGGTTCTACCGTCCATTACATATCGGTCAAGTCCATGGGCATCTAGCAGCACGGTGGCTGGTCCGGCGACACTAACACGACAGAATTCTACACGCCATCACGCACGGTCTCGCACAGTGGATTTCAATGATTTCACTCATCGTCGACGTTCATCAATCCGACAAAGCCAACAGGAAGGTGAACACGTTCGATTAGACGACTCATCAGACGGAACGTGGAGATTTCATCCGAATATCCCACAAAGTTGGGAATCATGGTTACCTACTGGAATGTCACCACCATCCAGCAATCCTCTGCCTCTGCCATCTACTAGACGGGCCTTGCCCGCCTTCCGATCACTCCACCGCCGCAGAGAGGCAGGAGGTACCTATCCCTGGAGTCCCGATTCTTCAGAGCCTCCTGTGGCAGACATTGGAAATGCCAATGTCAGCCAACCGTCAATCGTCTCTTCCGCTGGACAAAGTTCGTCACCCTTGTGGCAATCCTTAACCTCAGCTGCACCCACACCTCCTGATTCGTCATGGGCGCCGAGCCGTCGTACCAGCCTTACGGAGGTTCACGAGGCACGCAGGCAGGTCATCGCTCCTCGTCTTCGTCGGGGTGGTATCCGTCCACCCGAATCGCTTTTATCTCGGTATGCATCTCCAGTCCCAGATGAGCAGATCTCCGGACGATCGGGCGCTGTACCAGTATCAACATCGATGGAAGAATTAGATGCTGTCTCCGTTGACCCAGTAATCAGTGGTGACGCCTCTCCTTACACGGCTGAGGCCGTGCGCCACTATGTTGGCCGAGGCCCCAGCATGGAGAATGGGGACTGGGGCTCTGATGTCGCAGACACTAGACAGTTGCCAACTCCTACGAGGTCCGTCACTCCGTCTGTTGAGCCTGAAATAGAGTCATGATGTATACCATATTTAACTGGTTGTTGGACTATGGTTTTGCTAACCATTGTTGTATTGGTTTATGTTACTCAAACGTGTTTGTTATTGAATATACGCTTGTACAAACATCGTTATCTATCGTGAAGTATAGTGTTCGGCGCCTTGGATTCATATGTCATAGGCCAAGCTGAGGTCTTTTGGCGCTTAATCGCTGCGTTCACTATTCCACCGCACAATTGATGGAGGGACATCCCCAGCCTATTTTCAAAAGGCGCAGTCGTCCTCAACCTCGTCCACGACAGAAATCAGAGGAGGAAAAGTATGACAGTGTTTTGGACGAAGAAGTGCAAGGTGGCAACAAGGATCTAGAGTAGGTCCTCTGGACAATCCCCTTACCCTCCCGCCTGTATTATTGAACTAACTTGTGGCCAACACAGTGTAGCTGAACTGATAGAGCTGCGAAAGCTCAGGCGAGCTAGAGAGGGGATAGATATTCAAAAGCTTGTGAAGGGCGACGCAAAGAAACGAAGAAAGCGGCCACGAGAAGGCGAAGAAGAGCGAGGTGGTTTGAGGAAAGGCGCGAGTAGAGACAATGATGATGAGTACGTTCTTTCGCACAGTACTCAGAATTGGGTTTTGTTCGCTTATATGCATTGTGCCAGTGAGGATGAGGACGCGGAGACAAAGGCGAGAAAGGTGGTCAGAGCCAACAACTTCACACAGCAGACGAATGTGCTCGATGTGGACAAACATATGTACGTTACATTTCCAGTCCCTTTCTTCATCGAGTTTTGAACTGTAATGTGCCATAGGATGGCTTACATTGAGGAGAATATGAAACTTCGGCGAGGAAATCAGAACGAGCCGATGAGCGACGACGGTCCGCTTGACCCATACGCTGAGCTGTTCAGTATACCAGACAAGTACAGGCTCACACAGGAGCAGGAGCAGGATGAGGGTAATGTCACGAACAGTCTGGCTATGCTGACTGCGATACCCGAGGTGGACCTCGGAATGGAGTAGGTCATTCAATTACGCCAGCTTGACTCTTCATCACATGAGTATCTTCTATAGCACGCGATTGAAGAATATTGAAGAGACGGAAAAGGCAAAGCGAATGATTACAGAAGAGCGGAAAGAGAGAAAGAAGAAGGTGGACGACGAGGAACATCTTGCTGCAGCCCGCTGTGAGTACCGTATTGATATTGATACTGTCTTCCTTGTTGCTAACTATGTTGCAGTCTATCGGCCCAACCTCAAGATGAAGTCCGATGCCGACATCATTCGCGATGCAAAGCTTGAGGCTATGGGATTGCTGCCAGAAGATCATGAGTACCGTAGGCCTCAACATGAAAGAATGCAGATGGCAACAGACGAACTCGTAAGTTCGTAGCTGGCTCATGCATGTTTATATTCACACAGTCCTTTAGGTCATGGAACGCTTTAAGAAGCGAATGCGGAAGTAAGGCTGTGGTCTCATCATCGACTCGTATTAGTTATATCCTGGTCGTGTCCTTCTAAGGTTAATCTTGCTCCTCGTGGCTTGTACTTCTCCGAATGACGAGCTCATTTCATTTGATGTATTGCAATTAAACGAGTAATTTATTATCTATGACTGAAGGGAACTGTGGGCGTTGCTCTTCGTATCGGCGAGATATTCAACAGCACTTTGGTATTCATAATACGTACAACTTGCCCAGAAATGAGCTTGGTCTCCTGTGAGCAGAGTAGATACTTCCTTTAACCTCCACTCTTGCGCGCTTCGGATATCCTAAGCTGGCCAGGGACGTCCTGGGGATCATCTGCGGACTGGCTAGCTTGACCGTAACTAAAGGTCATTCAACAAGAGCTACACTGGTCTTATAATTACTCATTGCTACAGACGTATGCGTGTAAGTGCTTACCACCGTGACAGCCTCAGGCAGCTTGGGGTGATGGCAAGGACTTCACACACGTGTATTATGACCACATCATTTCAGAATTTCATGTATACGCGTTCTTTCTTTCACTCACCACACTCCCGCACTTTGGCTGCATGCGACTCTCTCCCAAATGTCATCGGAAGTTGCTCCAATAATTAAGAACGGGGCTAATCCATCCCACGGTACATCCGGCTTCTCCCTCAATGGTATCTTGAACGGGGACCATGATGACCTCGACGATACTACTACGAAAGATGCGCTCGAGGGAAGCTGTGATGAGGAGAGCCATGGTAGCATTGCGGCGCAAGGATTTTGCATAGAGTGTGAAGGTATGCAGCTTAAAGAACATTCTTCGACCGCGAAATGTGAAAATTCTCTCTAGATCAGCCTGCCCAACTCCATTGTGATACATGTCAGGATGACTACTGCGAAGTCTGTTTTGCGGCACAGCATCGCAAAGGCTCGCGTAAAAGACACGCCACAAAACCATTATCCAGTCACCAGCACAAACGGGCGAAACTCGAAAGCAGACCCTCTGAGAATGACGCTACCGAAGCAGGTGACTCGGAGGCCAGTGGAGAAGATGTAAGTCCAATTTCAAGAAGGTTCTACTACTAAACGCTGTTGATGTCTTCTTAGATGCAGATAGACGGCGGCTCGGACGACGGCCTAGAGCACGCTGCAAAGGAAGGGATCACCGGCAAAACATCTTCGACCGAGTCCACAGTGGGCGAGTGGTTTGTTAATCGCTCAAAATACATCCCATTGCGTCTTACATTGGGGGAACGCAAATTCCTTCGCCTTCTCGAGGCGGCATTGAATGTCTCCGAATATACGGATAAAATAGATACGATTGGCTTTGGCTTATCCAAGGCGAAGCGTATCGTGCATCAAATTCGCGAGCTCTGTGCAATCATGTCAGGCTTAGTCCTGTCAGCCGATTACAAGCAGGGCCAGGAGCTGTTTGCGGATCGGGACTTCCAGGCGAACGAGGAGTTCTACCAACAAATTTTTGAGCTTGGTCGACGGCACAAAATCATGAACCCCGACAAAATGCGTTCGACATATGGCAAGTTGATGTATCTGTTGCAGGTCGGTACTACATTCCCATTCAAAATCATTTGGAATGCACGAATAACAGTGTCACTCAGGACAGCCAGACATCTGATGTCAAAGATCTTCTTAATTTCACATGCGTTAAGCCAATAAAAACTGTGTATACTGTCCTGGAGGAGCACGATGCTCTTGACCTGCTTCGCGACGACCTCATTTCAGTCGCGACGAAGGAGATCTCTGCTGAAGGTCGCTCGAGACGAGAGATACAAAAGGACATCAAGTTAAAAGAACGTGCGATCGAGACCCTCGCTGCACGCTACGAACGACGAGGCCACAGTCAAGAACAAATTCGGCAGTGTCTATACAGTATCGGTGACAACCATGCGTTTTTGCGGGTGAATCGTGATCCTTGTGACAAAATGATTTCATACTTGAAGCAGTACTTTCACCCTACCCAAGCGAAGGATAGCAAGAACAGTCTAGCGATTAAAAACGGGAAGGGCGGGGCGAGACTGACACACGATCACTCGAAACAGTACGCTTATGTCATCCAAAGTCTGACACTTTGGCGAGAAGTTCTTCACGGTGAGCACCTTTTTTGATGGCGTTGGTGCAATATCCAATTGACGGCATTTTTGTAGACATGTTCCAACTGTGGACATTAGCTGAGCAGGATCTGCTCTCGGAGAATGTGCCGTACCGTCTTCGTGATACCGGCCAGGGCCTCAACCGTGTGCAAGCTGCGCCTAAGACATCGCGTATGATGCACGTCATTCTGGATCGCGCACAAAAGAGCATTGGGTCGTGGGTGGGCTCGTCGGTCATCCACATGGGTGACCACAATGTGCCCAATGCGCTCGTGTTCATTGGTGAGATCACTACTCATTTTTACTTCACTTGCAATCGCTGATCGATGTTCAATGGATTTTTTTACATTACAGATAAATACTCGCAGATCTATCGCATCCTTCTACCGATCTGCAATGCACTTTCGCAGATACCCAAGTTGGTCGAAAGCCCAGCGCTCCGCTCATATATCGACGACGAATTTGGGAGCGTAGATTCATTGCGCCGCGAAATCCTCGGTGACTTCTTCCGTCATGGATTCGACGGTTCAGGCGCAGGCAATTATTTCGACGCAGGGTCGTGTATAGATGGCCGTCTTACAAGTGCATGGAACTGGTGCTCGTCTCTGGAGAAGAAGCGGTTCTTCCCAATCTTTTTACTTGCAGGATTTACCGGATTTGACGGGGAATGGTGACGAGAACATGTGAAGACTTCTATATGCACGTCAGATATGCATGGGATTCCTGTCGGCTTACTGGATTATACATAGTAGAGTTACACATTTTATGACAGTCTATTGCCGGCATAAAATCATCACGCAAAAATACAAGCACTGATGAATACACCACACACATCTAACACCCTACTTACAAACGATCAGGTCACATAACCCGTTTTCAATACAAATCATATGATATCATGCTGCAGTCGCAGCTGCTTGAGGTGCAGGTTCGATGGCAGTTGGTACACTGGCAGCTCCGTTTACGACTACCTCTGCGCCCCCTTTCTTTCGCGCCGCAGCAACCACATCGAGCACACTAGCGAGCCCTGCCTTCCACGACAGAAGTCGCTTCTCTAGAGTCTCCCATTGCGGGCGGTCAAATGCGCGAGCGGCCGCACGGGAGACGTGGAGAGTTTGTGTTGTTTGCGACAAACGCCCAGAGAGGAGACCGGCACGGATTACTAGTGACAACATGCGCGTCAGGAACTGTCTCAGGGCGAGATTAGGTGGGAATTCACCGTCAATAACCCATCGCTCAACTTGCGAAGAATCGACTTCCAGAGCAGACGCAATAGAGGAGTAGGGCACGTCATGACCAATATTTTGGAAGCCGAGTGTTGCAAGTGTGAGTAATCTGATCTTCCGCTCCAGTTGAGCCTTATCGAGATCTATATCGTGGATCGGTGAGTGAATATTATGTGCATACCTTAAGTACATACCGTACTTGGTAAATGCATCCGCATGGCTCTCAGCCCATGCCTTGTAATCATGGAGATCATTGTTCAAGAATATGTGTAATAGAGAGAACAATTCATGATCTTTTGCAGCTACGACAGCATCAAGACGGAAAAGAGCATCGAAGTCAAAGAGGTGGGGAAGGCGCAGAGCGGCGGCGATGGCGTCAATGGCGGCTGATTGTGCAGAGGAAGAGGAAGAAGGGAGGGATCGAACGTAGGATAGAAAGTACTCATATGAGATTTCCCTGACAACGTGGAGACTCTGCATGAGGAAAGCCAATGAGAGATCTTGGAATTAACTTACGAACATCCGCACTTGGAGAATGAGGCAGCGACGTGCTGGAGAAAGGCGCTCTTCTCCTCTGAGGAGACATCCCACTCCTGAAGCCATTTCTCTACTTCTGTGCGTGAGAGATTAAGGCTCCCGAGTTCGTCATGTGCACTGGCGATCTCAAGCAGTGTTCTATAGACGAGCAGCCTTAGGCTTGATGGGCGGGGGAGGGTATTGAAAAAATTGGAGAGTCTGTAGAAATGAGAACTAGTCAAGATAGTGGGCAACGCACACGGGGAAATGACAGACATTCGGTATTTGATAAGCGTCTGATCGGAAGAGGTAGCGATCGTTTGCAGTAGAATCGTGATATGTTCTCTAGTTTCAGCAGCATCGAGGGCAAGCAGAGAAACAAGATGTGAGAAGAGGAGGTTGAAAAATCCCTCCATTTCTGCCCCGATGGATCAGTAGTTCACTGCACATATGAGGATGTTGAGTATACCTTTCTCCGAGCCCTCTCCCAGTCCCTTCACCTCGTCTAGCACCATGATAAAGACTTTTTCCCGCCTTGATTGATCTTCCTCAATAGCTACTTGTCCCTCAGTTGTCTCTAAAATTTCTGCGAAAGGCTGAACATAGGCCGGCTGCGCTTCCTCTGGCTGACTGCGCGCCAGGTAGTCCACAAGCTCGCGGATCTGAAGATTGTCTGAGGAAGTTTTCGCATTGCTAATCGCTCTATGCGTACCTGCTCTGAGAACGTGCCCTCAGTGAACACGGATACCGCGTCTGTTGCTACCATCTTGAAGAGTTTCGAGATGGAGAAGGCAAATTCGCGAAATCTGCGTTTTCGAGTCTGAAGATAACCACGTGGCCTGATCATCCAGATCCCGATTCCAGGATTGGTCCGTGCTCACCGCCACCGTTGCCCCGCGCAGTCTGCGCTCAGATCCTCTCCGACGCACGCCACGACCCATAACACAACTGCCACGTTCATAACTAGGCCTGGTCGCAGGACTCTGTCGCATTCCATCTTACCATGAGTTTCTTTCGATCCGGCAGCAACAACCCTTCACCACAGCAGCCACCGTACTCACGACTTCCCCCAAGCGGTGGCGGCGGCTATGACCAAGGCAGTCGCAGCCAGCGAGTTCCGGCACCACGTTACAACGACAATGCGGCCTATGAGAAGCGTGTCTTTGACCAGAGGCAATCAGCACGGTCTGGAGGTGGAACGTATGTCTTCGCGCATCGTCTCACATGAATCCTAGTCTTGACTTGGATATAGGTTTGGCGTAGCTGGTTCTCCAAACGACCTGCTTGCGCTTTCTAACCGTATTATTGTTCACCCATCTGATTTCCCCGAGGGTCAGCATGTCCTTGTGAAACAGGCGTTTCCGTTGACTGTTAAGTAAGCGTTTTCCTCATCCAGACATTGTTTCTCCATTCATAGATATAAAGACATGACAATACCGGAAAGCTAGCTCCTGGAACGATTGGCGCATCCGCGGTTCAACGACAGTGGATTGGACTTTCGCTCACAGGCGATGAAGTTACCGTCGAGCCTATTTATCCCTCTCCATCGTACGTGCAGTCTATCGACATCGAAGTCGGTTTTCTCCGCCGCGGACTTGAGATCCCCGAGCAGTTCTCCGCAGATGACATGATGAAGAACTTTCTCAAAGCATTCAGTGGGATGGTTCTTGCGGTCGGCGAGATCCTTGTGTTTGACTTTCATGGCCACAACTTGAAAGGAGCCGTGAAGGCGCTTAGCGTTATAGAGTTACCAGACAATCAGGGAATGAGAGCCTCGCACGGCTCCACTGCTTTTGGGGTCATCATGGAGAAGACAGATGTGACGTTCATCAAGGCAAGCGACAGTGCGATTAAAATAAAGTCGAGTGCGAAAAAGTGAGTGTGTCTCATGCCACCCGTATCTATAATTTAATGAACGGTCAAGAGCCCCTCCAAATGCAATCCTTGCGCCTAACTTTAAATTTGAGGACATGGGTATCGGTGGCCTTGACGATGAGTTCAGCGCTATCTTTCGGCGTGCTTTCGCGTCGCGCGTCTTCCCGCCCGGTCTTGTTGACAAGCTCGGCATCCATCACGTTAAGGGTATGTCTCTTCTGAGGCAACTACAGACTGCACGCTAAATTTACTAGGTATCTTACTCTATGGCCCGCCGGGGACGGGGAAAACACTCATGGCACGCCAAATCGGTAAGATGCTGAATGCCCGCGAGCCCAAGATCGTCAACGGCCCCGAGATTCTCAACAAGTACGTTGGTGCATCTGAAGAGAACATTCGAAAACTCTTCGAAGATGCGGAGAAGGAGGTATGTTGTATACCCGTGCTGCATACATGCGGAATAAATGAACATGCGCGATAGTATAAAGCAAAGGGAGATGAGAGTGGGTTGCACATAATCATCTTCGACGAACTGGATGCGATATGCAAGCAACGTGGATCTACCGGTGGAGGTACCGGTGTTGGTGACAGTGTTGTTAATCAGTTACTGTCAAAGGTGGGCCAGCGACCTGCTTTCTAATTACCTCTTCTGAAGGCAATGGTAGATGGATGGTGTGGACCAACTCAACAATATCCTCATCATTGGGATGACGAACAGGTTGGACATGATTGACGAGGCTCTCCTTCGACCAGGGCGGTTGGAGGTACACATGGAGATTTCCTTGCCGGACGAACATGGCCGATTGCAGATTCTCACTATCCACACCGCCAAAATGCGGAACAACAACATCATGGCGCCGGACGTGAGTTTGGAGGAGCTCGCCCAGCTTACAAAGAACTACTCCGGTGCCGAAATTAATGGTTTAGTAAAGAGTGCAACAAGTTTTGCATTCAGCCGACATGTGAAAGTGAGTTGTCATGCGCCTCGTGTGGTGTGGACTTCTGACGTACGTGCATGCATAAGGTTGGAACTCTAGCGGGTATCTCAGACGATATCGAGAACTTGCGTGTGAACCGGAACGACTTTATGAATGCGCTGGATGAAGTGCAGCCCGCCTTCGGTGTCTCCAAAGAAGAGCTTGAGCAGGTCGTGGAGAATGGCATTATACACTACTCGAACGTCGTTGACGTGAGTGACTTCGTATGTTCGCGTGTAGAATGCGACGTATTCAATGTCGATATCGCAGGAGATCCTCCGCTCTGGCAAGCTATTCGTCGAGCAGGTACGTACCTCTACGCGGACGCCGCTTGTTAGTGTTCTCTTGCATGGTCCACCGGGGTCGGGTAAAACAGCGCTGGCTGCGACGATCGCACAAGCGTCACAGTACCCATTCATGAAGCTGCTCTCACCAGACAGCATGGTCGGATTCTCGGAAGCACAGAAAGTTGCAGCGATTAGCAAGGTCTTTTCGGACAGCTACAAGAGTCCGCTGAGTGTTATCGTGGTAGATAACTTGGAGCGGCTGCTTGGTGAGCAGTCTGCATTCAGGGACGATCGTTGCAATTGCTCATGTGAGAGTTGTTGGTCAGACTTCACACCGATTGGACCCAGATTCTCCAATTCGGTGTTGCAAACCCTGATAGTGCTCTTCTCGCGGCGACCACCCAAGGTAGTTCATACATTGCTGTTCAATGGAGTGTGACTCATTTATGCACAGGGACGTCGTCTGTTGATTATGGCGACCTCCTCACTTCGACCTGTACTCACAGATCTCGGCTTATCTGAGGCGTTCGACTCGGAGCTGCGCGTACCTCCGATTGCCAACCTGCGTGCGGTGGATTATGTCCTTGAGCAGCTCGCGCTCTTTCCAAGCGCTCAAGACCGTGTCAAGGCGATTCGCATGCTTGAGCAGGCCGGCTTTGGCAGCCTGCAGACAAATGACGACGATCTATCATCGAGACTGAATATAGGCATAAAGAAACTACTAAGCATCGTCGAGATGGCGCGACAAGAGCCAGACGCTGCGGCGGAGAGATTAACACAGTCGTTAATGGGATTGGGGATGTAGGCTTTGTAGGTGTATTGGACTTGTACTTGTCTTTCACAATTAGACGCGATGCACAACTTGTTCTTGAGCTTGTCATGAGCGGGGGAGTCTCGGGGGGATTCGCGCGCACGTGCCCGTGGGCCGCGGTGCAGCGCGGCCCTGTTGCGGCAGCGACCATTTTGAGGTCGCTTTCCACACTCGCCATGTTTCTCTTCTCGCCATAACTTGCGCGTTCTCAGGCTGTTGCTTACTCGGATGTACTTGAAAAATACCCCACATCCATGTCCTTCACCTTCCAGTGGCCTCGGTTTTCCGACCAGTTCCATGCCGATGCAATACAGATGCTCACGGCAGCCCTCAACAAGGGCAACAAGCCGCCAGTCATAGCAGACAAGATCGAGGTGGTCGAGCTCGAAATGGGTACTCAAGTTTGTCCATCTAGTCCACTAATTGCCTTCGGATACTCACTTGGCCGACATGCAATACTCCTAGCCGCCCGAATTGGAGATTAGGGACATCGGAGAGCTCACGATGGACCAGTTTCGAGGCATTTTCCGCTTAACGTATTCCGGAGATGCGCATATAGTATTGCGGACGAAGGTCCAGGTAAGCACGTATATCCGCGATTGCCCGCTCCGGCGTTTGAAGGCCATTCAGGCGAACCCGCTCAACCACAAGCAACCCGACATCCATCTTATGGGCGGCTCGAGGGGTATGCTTGCAGCCAAGCAGCCTCTAGTGGTTCCCATGCTGCTCCGTCTGTCACACTTCAAGCTCAATTCTTATGTCGTGCTCGTCGTCTCGCGACAAAAAGGCATCACACTAGTCTTCAAGACCGATCCTCTCCAGAATGTGGACATCAACAGTACATTTGACTCAATCGCTGTCATTCAGAAGTTTATCCAACGTGAAATCGAAGGACAGCTGCGCCAGATGTTCAGGGAAGATTTGCCAGGGATTATTCATCGACTTAGCCAGCAGTGGGTGAAAGCGAAGGTCGAGGCGCCCTATTCGGCAAAGCGACCGGGTCCCAGCACACGCGAGCGCAGGCTTGACACAATGTCCGCGCCAGACTTGAATTCGTATCGTTCAGCGCGCTTACCGTCCGTCGGTCTTCAGCCGCATCTGACACTCAGACGGCCGTATGGCATGCCCAATTTTGGCCGCGCTCGGACTGCGTCCGTGATGTCTGTGTCTAGTATTGGTCGCAGACCTTCCCCTTCGACGACCTCGTCTCCATCGACGACGACGACTCCAGCTCCCGACGCGTCAGCCTCGTTCCCAGACTTAGAAAACTATGACCCAACATACGGCCTACGACCGGAAGGATTGCCGGCTAAGAGCGTCTTCAGTGGGTTCCGCAGTCTTTTCGCTCCCAGTAAAGGCTTGGTTGATTTGACCGAGGAGGCGAGTGAAGTGGATGACTCTCTAGACGAGACGGCATCATATGGCACTGCAAACTGGGACGACTTGATATCAGACTATGATCCTCCGCCATCCGCCACTGGTCCAGACGGCGCCGTAGAGTACGAGACCGTACCTGCCGTTGGAGGAGGGACCATCACCCGCCCACGAATTTACCACTCACAGTCACAGATACAGCCCTCCGTGGATGGCCCCACGGAAGCAGGGCCATCTACATCAGTACGCCGACCAACTTCTTCCACCCCGTCGGGGGCGATGCGCGCCGCAATGTATCGCCACTCACTCAGCCAGAGCTCCCTACTTTCTCCATCTGGATATGGGTCACCTTACACCCCATACTTTACTGGCACGTCGCCCCTATCTACCTCAGGCTCGGTAGTTGAGTCTCTGTGGCCCGATAATGCGGGAGATCTGAGCTCTCCAGCTTCCGCAATTCCCCCTGTACCCCCACTCTACTACTCGCCGGTCCAACGTCCGAAGAGTTCATCCAGCATACACAGCCAGCCCTCACGATCTAGTGATAGGACACACTCAGTGCCCACTCCGCCAACGTTGGAAGAGGAAGCCGGAATCCAGATGAATCGTTCTCGTCGTTCATCTTTTGCATCCTCGAATATTGATAGATTTCAACCGGGCTCCCCCTCCGATCAGCAATACTTCATGCCGGATCACGATCCAAAAATCGTCTTACGGCCAGCGGTAAATAGCTCCATATCTAAACTCTCTACGCTCAGCCACTCGAACCACACCCTTTCGCCATATACGCGCACCCTCGAGCACTACACAGTACGTAGTGTTCCTCCTCGAGAATCCTCGTCAGGGCCCTCGTCAAGCATCGAGAAACAACCTGTTAAGGCCAAGCGAAGACGGACACATCATCTTGGCGGCAAGCCTGCCAAACCACCCGAGTTCTTGGCGCACGACCCCTCGTCGTCGTCTCTACCGATGTCCGACTTTGATGCGTCCGAGATGGACCGCTACTTCCGTAACAATGACGACCTGATGCCCCACTACCCGGACCGCCTCGCTTCGCCGTCGCCTTATGCACGTCGACCGTTTCCCTATCAATCATGATCAGGACTCGTATCTTACGTACCGTATACACATTTGCCGCTCATGTAAGTTAACGCTGCTATCCTAGTCACTCAATTGTAGATCATTCGTGGATAATTCACAACTTCACAACGGGTTGAATGGAGGCGCGAGCGATTGAAAATTATCCGCAGGAAACGGCATTGCCGCCGTCTGCATCGGCATTGGCACTGTCACTAAGCTAGGGGAGGGCGCGCCCTCGAATTCCTGAGCGCGCCCAAGCGCCGATCAGTAGCTAGCAAAACGGTCAAACGACCATCGCTACACCTACATCTACATGCATACTCGGCAGCCTGCTGGTGTTTTGGCGTGCTGATGGTGCCTGGCGCAACTGTCTGAAGTCGTTCTTATTGTACGTCTTGGTGAGACCCGTCGACGCCGGTGAGCGTATTAATGCTGGAGGCGAAATCGCAACTAGTCCAAGGACATCTTGATTCAAAGCTTTGCGTGGTGGTGTCGATGGCGGGGGCATATTGGATCGGAGAAGCTCTTCGACGTCATGCATGGTGAGCTTAACGAAGTCCGGAATGGACACCGAATGCAGGTCCGTTTCTGCTTCTTCGGCAATTACGATCCTGCTTTCCAGTGCACCTAACCGCTCAGCCCACGAAGGATCCAAGACAGCACGAAGTTGATCCAAAAATGCCGAGTAAGAGGACCTAGTGAGCCCTTGCAGGGTCATAGAATGTGCATAGTTCGATGATGACGCAAGCCACTCTAGCAATTGTACACAGAGCTCGGCTGTGACAGTGCTTATGGAATGTGTATCGCCTTGCAGTCGAGAGAACAGAGGACCAAGCTCGGAGCGAAGACCGTCCGCGAGACTGTCCGCTGGGGAGTGTGACAAAAGGGCAAAACACTCATGAAGGAGGTTAGGTACCGAGTCAGCCTGTGTTTCCAAACTCTGTGATGCGCGTATTAGAATAAGAGCAAGAGAAGCACGTAACCCTGAGTCCATTTTCGAGTGTTCGGATGCTAAGACTTCTACCAATTCTGTGAGCGCAGGAGAAACAAAGTGTTGGTTCAGCAGTAACACTAAGCATGCCGAGAACGTCTGAGGGGATTCTTGCGCGGTTGTGAGGAAATCAATGCACGTCTTAGCAGATATGAACGAACTCCTTGCCAGATCAAGCCAGAAGTGCAGGGACATAGAAACTTGGAAATGTCGCAGTCCGCGTTCGCGAAGCTCCACGGCGGGGTCTTCCAAAAATTGTAGGGCACGCAGCAACCCTTTTAGCTCCTCGTGCAAAAGCCACTCGCCCACGCCGACCAAACCTCGATCGAGATTAATAAGTCGCTTGATAAAATGCGCCTTGTTCTCCGTGTCCAGAACGCTACAAAATGCCCATAGTTCCTTCAGCAACAGAGGCATCACACGTTGTATCCAAACGGACGGCAGGCGATTTCCAGCGCCTGGCATAGGCAACAGAAAGTCGACAAGGCAAAACACCTGTAGTAAATGGTGCACGGGATCCAAATCTTCGCTGTGTAGCCCCGACTGAAGCAGAGTCTTTAGAACCACTTCAGCCCCAAGCTTGCCTCCCTCCGAGGGAACCTCCGGATCAGAGAGGGTGCGCACAATGTCTATACATGTCTGTCTTGTCCCCTGTGCTGTCACACAAGTAGGGCTGGATTGTGAATAAAGCATGTCGACAGCATCCGTACAGACGAACAAGTCAGCGACGCTGGTTGTCAAAGTGGCTATGGCACGACCGGGGAGCGGGTATGCCGGAATAAGGCGGAGGGAGAGCTTCAGCAACTCGTCTGCCGCGCAAAACAGCTGGTATAACAATTCTTGTGGCTTGTGCTCCGGAAGTCTCAGACCAAATTGACCCTTTATTTCTTCGGAAAGGGGTACGAAGACGTCTACGAGACGCATGATGAGTCCAACAGAGCCTTCCTCCCAGAAATCTTGCAAGACCTGAAATTCACGCTGCTCATCGAGCTCTTGATCAATGACGGCAAGAGCTACACGCAGGGTGCGCAAGTTTGTCAGCGTCAATGGATGGTCGACTGGACGCATGAGTTCGTCAATTGCCCCTGGTAGTCCATCGTCAGCGACGATTGCAGCTTGGCGCATGGACTCGCGCTCATCGTCGGTAATAAATGAATGCGGTGGCCTGAGAGACAATATACACTTGATCAGATCATAATGTAGAATGGCGTGTGGATCCTTGGCAAGGTTTACGAGGATATGTTCCGCGTCCAGACCCGCACGTCGAGGCGGATCATTGTCCATCATACATTCAAGACGGAACGTCATCTGCTTCAGTAGAAGTAAATGGTTCACGATCTATATGATGCATGTTAGCATGTTTACAGATGGATTCGCTTGAAACTTACTTCTCGATATCCATCAACACCTTGCCATAATCGTATGATGCTTAATGCACGTTCTCTGCAGAGCTTGTGCGGATATGCATCCGCGAACGCATACACTGCTAGGACAGCAGAGACACCAACGGCTGCTCTCAAAAAAGCAATGAATTCATCGTGTGACACCGACGATTTCAGCAAGCCAAACAGATAAGGGGGATGAGGAAGGGGTATAGGCATGATCGGATTTTCGCTCAGCATGTTCGCAATGTTGTCATGGGTGATCATCGACTCTAACCATACACCGAGGGACTGTTCATCAGTGCCAATATCTTTGAGCATCTCACATGCGCTGATGAAATCGCCTTGAGTATTCGAAAGGACATCTTCAAGCGTAATCCAGCCTCTGATCCTCCGGATTAGCTTGTGAGCTGCGCTTTGCGTCTCCTTGTCTGAGTTTGGATCCCTGGCAATGGTACCGACTATCTCCAAGAACCAGTCATTGTCAAGGTATCTTGCAATATCAGGGTTGGTGGCAGCATCATGCATTCTTAGGAGTGTCAGCTCATCCATATTATAGCTGTCAAAGACTTTTGAGAGATCCAACTTGTCCTGAAGTGGCTGATTAGGGGGTAATTTTGGGGGGAAAAAAGGTACACCGCAAAACTCACCAAAAGGTGTCTGGACATACTAGGATGTTGAGATGCTGCATGCGCCAGGATCCCAGCTACAAGATACGATTGGCTACTGTCCTGTCCATTCGTGTCATCAACTGGCTGTATGCGGCATGTCACAATCTAAGGTGAGTAACGTACTTTGGCGCGTATCGAACTGGCTACATTTTGTGCAAAACGTATTAACGTATCATCAGCCACATCGTCAGGGACAGGCCTTGTAGTCAATCGAAACGCTTGTTCTAAGTCGAAGTTGCTTGTTTCGCTATCTAGATCAGGATGTAAATACGGAAACTCGGGAAGATCCCAATCGTCGCTTGGAGGTTTTAGGCAAAACACCAAACGGATAGCTAGTGGCAGTGACGGAGCGTCGGGAATGAGGCACAACAATTGTCGTGCGAGAGTACATGGATCGAGTGAATTCGACGGGTCCAGGGACCGTGAGAGTGGAATAGGCTCAAATGAAGGTATTTGCCGTGGCTCATATGTCGTGGGTGGCGGGGAAAGCTCTGATATAATGTCACCGTAAATGGCCATCGACACGCTTTCGTAGCCTCCCCTTACAATCATGAGACGAGTAGCGTACTAAGACAGTCTGAATAAGCTTAAAGGAAAATACGCAAATGTACGGTGCTCACCTCCGAACCCATGAGGACATAGAAATCTGACTTCCCTCCTGCATAAGCGATGACTGTTGGTACGAGTGCATTGGTCGGCTTTGGCTTCTCTCTTGACTTAGGTTGCACAACTCTGTAAGCATTGAAATAAAGCTCAAGATAAAAAGCTTGTGGGTCTGTGCGACTTTCAAATTCTCCGTGAATCGCGGGGTAAGTATCTCAGTGTGCGGGGCTGACCTGATTATCTCCGGATGTTGTGCAAATGGCTGCGCACCAGTAGGAAAAATACGGATAGACTGCACACGGACGGGGGAAGAGAAGCGAATGGCAGCGAGATTTCCTACTCCAGAGGGCTCAAGTGTGCACCAGTGTAGCAGCATCTTGGCGAGAGTTCATGAGGGGATGCTGGGATGGAAAAGAGATATAGACGCTCGACGTTGCTGCGCGCGCCAGAGCTTAGAGGGCGCTGCCCGGTGGACTGACGGAGACGATCCAAAGCGCACCACCACATCGCCTGCTCGTCCCCTTGTCACACGCTATAAAATACTTTCAATGTCAACTGTACTGACTACCCCAAGATCTCCTACATTTCCCGTACCAGACACCTTCAATGGTCTCACCGTCCGCCAAGCGGTACGCCGCACACGCAGTAGTAGCATTCTCAAAGTCGAAAAAGTCGGCGTCGAATCGCAGGAGGAGGTCCTCGATTCTGCCATGTACGAAAATGTGAACGCGGAATGGGTAAATCGCAAAGGTATGTCTCGCTCGTGCTGCGCTGTTGATTCAGTCATCCTGATGTGCATCGACTGCGCAGGTGCCTGGCTCATTCACCCTGCCCTCATTTTCGCTGGCAAAATGGTTATCGATACTATCCCGGGTATGAGGCAAGATATTAGCTGGTTCCTGGTTAATTTGGTGTATCTGGGGGTGCGTCATCCGCCCGTCCGGCTATGACAAGCCATTGTCTGAATTGGGTATACCGTATAGTTCTCATATCTCATGTTCCACTGGGTCACCGGGATTCCCTTCCAGTCTGATCAGCATGCCGGTGTGTATGATGAATTGACACTATGGGAGCAAATCGACCAGGGCGCACAGTATACACCGGCTAAGAAATGGTTGTTTATCGTGCCCGTACTGCTGTACGACTGCCCGCTTTTTCATGTCTTACATGATCTCAGTCACGTCCTGTGTAGATTCCTCGCGTCAACTCACTATTCTGAATACAATCCCTGGATGTTTGCAATTAACCTCACGGCGCTCATATTCGTACTCATCCCCAAACTGCCACAGGTAGGTTCATGGTAGTTTCCGCCTCCGCTCCTTTTGCGCATGAGCTAATGAATTTTTAGCTTCACCGTCGTCGAGTTCGTTTCATGGTCGACGAAGATGACCCGTCTGGTCTGGGCAGCTCTACTGCACCTACCCCGCGATCAGGTTCGTCGACGCCCACGAATGGAGAGATTCGCGCGACCGCGATCGAGACCATCACAGAGTCTAAGTTCGAGTAGAAATCTATCGGACAACACATTCTAGCTGCATTGCATAGGGTATTTCTCTTCTCGGTCTAATTATCATCTCCGGTTCACCTAGGAGCCAGTGCAGAGTTACGCATACTGCATTACATTGTCGCAGTGCCATCGCAGCTTCTCTAATATTACATGAACTTGTGTTGTCTGTCATCTAATTCTGCGATGTAATCAATACAAGGTCTAGATGCTCTCCTCCCCTACCTAATTCCGTCATGGGTGTCGTGATGCGGTTGCCACACGCGGATCCCCTTGTTAACTGGCTGTTTTCTCTGTCGTCTCACCGTATTGTTGGAGTCGCAGCCTATTTTTACATACGTCATCTCTGTACGAAGACCACGACGAAGGAATACCCACAAATTTCGTAGGAGCATCATGATAGTCACCTTACCAATGGTGGGCATGTACAGGGACGCCTGTGAAGTAGAGCCGCGATCCACATTTCACACTAATGCTGCTTGAAGCGAGCTGATCCACTCACTTTATCACGCACATCCGCTCCGAAATTTTTGTCTGCCGCAATGTTCACGCACACGCAGCCATCCTTGAGCCACTCAGTCTTGACTTTGTATTCAGCACTCGGCACAGCAGAAACAACGACATCGGAGAGCGCAAGACATTCTTGGAGTGTATGCGTGCTGGGACGTACAACATGCCGTGGAAAGTAGCGCCGCTTGACGTCTGTATTTTCGCGGGGACGTTTGGTGTATTCCTGTTATTGAAGAATATGTTCAGCAACAACGGACATTTGTTCACGGCGTTACAGCACCTGTATAGAATCTATGTCAACGGAGAAGACGCGTGCACCATCGTTTGCGAGGAGTGCAGCCAACGGCCGCCCAACTACCTCAGATCTCCGGAGGCCACAATTAGGACATACAGTCTCACCGGCGGAATTTTGGACATCCTACCGATTAATGACGGAGATGGTCTTTCCATACGCACCATCGCCATAGGGAAGCAGCTTGTTGTATATGCCAATGTGCTCGAGGCATTTGACCACCGCGAGCGGCGTACATGGAAGAATGGACTTCACGGTGCCCGGGGGTGGTTGATCTTCGACTGCCGGTGCGGGTGCTGTCGTAGAAGGAACTGAAGACAAAAGAGTCTTGGGGTCTAGGAATCGAATGCTACAACAACAAATTAACAAGCTAGTCCACATTCTGTATCGGACATGAACTGATGTGCGCACTTGTGATACAAATTGTAATGAAACTTGAAGTGCAATCCTTCGACATCCTTGAAGGGCGAAACAACCTTGTTGATATTTGAATTTGTCTTCTCGCTTTATCAATGATTGGCTGAATTAAATGACTCACCTGCTGCAGATAATGGTCCTACAGACTGGTGTGTTCAGCGCGAGTATCAAAACAGGAATGTTGGCTGACCTGTTGACCGCCAAAAATCGGATAGTATACCTCCAGTGATAAATGATGATCCCATATTCAGTGTATATCATCCACAACAGTTATCTGCACTTACCATGATCCCGTCCACGCTCGGATCCTCGTTTGCTTCGATGATCGCCTCCTCCACTCCATCTCCTTCACTTAATGAGATATCTGCTGCCGCCCCGGTTTTTTTCAACACAAAATTCACGCCAAGTGAATTGCACTGCTTTTGAGTAAACTCGGCATAGAACCTGCTAGAGACTGCAGAGGTCGCGAGGATTCCGACAAGCTTGGATGCACGCGGACGCGTAGACAGGACCGCAGTTATTTCATCGCGAAAATAGTTCGCTATTGTGTCTGCCTTTAGCAGAACACCTTTGCCGTATGATCCTGTGGCATCAGACATTATCAAACAGTGAGCAGGACAGAAAAAAAAACGACAAAGTCGGAACGCTATAATGAGACGCGTCCCACGTGATTCCATTTCAGGCACAATCAACAACTGGGGACTCCGGGACTCACGGAAACAGGAAGCTAGAACAACTTCGAAAAGGCTACAGTCGAGGTATACATCCACTACGAAGAACAGTAATAGTTTGGTATACAAGGGGGGAAGAAATTAACAGCACTTCTGTAGTACACATCATCTGAGTCCTTCATCGATGAAAATTCCGTGGACACTGAATCTACACTTCGTGAGCAACACCGTTGACCTTGACCGGTGCATCATCATCCACGGACATGGCACTATCTTCTTCAACGCTGTGGTCCACAGAAGCCTCGGCATCCTCGTCTTCCTCTTCGTCGTTCATCAGCTTCGCAGCCATCTAAACGGGGATATGAGCAACACAGCAGGAGATAAAGCCTCAGGAATATACCTTCATAGCTTCAGCTTCATTAGAGTAATGCCTCCCACGAGCTCTTACGAACGCAGCGTGCTTAGCGGCAGCTGGGTGAAATAGTCAAGATCCCCGTTAACAGGAGTTAAACAAAATTCCGTACTCTCTTCGTCCATCTCCTCGAATTCTACTTCATCACCTGGCTGGCGGTCCTCCAATCTAATAGTTTCTCGCGCATCATCAGGGAGATTAAAACTGGTGCTCCGGCTGGATCGTCCACTCTCAGGCCGTCCAGATGCCGTTGATGTTCGACCTGTGCTTGAGAAGGATGTTCGGCGGGATGAAGGGGTCGATCCACCCCCTGTCGCTCCCGTACTGCTACTAGGTGACATACCACGGACAGGCGAGATAGCGCTGGGGCTGACGGTTCTGCCGTTCAAATCGAGCGAGGGAATATCTACGAGCGACCGCCACATTTCTCGATTAGTACCATGTAACGAGGCGATGTGCATGAACAATTATCCTTACCGCCCTCTAGGGTATCGGTTTCTGCATTGTATCGTACATATGGAGTTTTGGGCTCAGTAATCTTCATCTGACTGTCTTTCTGCGCTTCTGTAAGCGCTAAGTTCTCCTCATCCCACTGCAAGCTATATGTGACGAGGATCTACTTAGTCGTTCACAATCGATAACGAGCTGGTACATACTGTTGGCTTGTAGGATGAGCTGGAGGGGCGTTTTTTAAAATCCCTTTTGGCTTGGAGTTCGAGCGCGACATGGGCGGCTGGTGCGGAGAGGGGGAAGGCGAGTCACGCACGACATCGGTGGACATACTGTCAGCTAGGTATAGGCGAAAAACCGGGTTGTGGTGGTTCGAGTACAAGATCAGTAGACAGTGAGTAGTCTTGCGGTATCAACGTTGTTTCCCAGGAGCGATCCAAACGCAGCGTTGCAGAGACAGAGTTGGTGCGGTGTGCTAAGGATGGTATCCTTGATATGGCGAACCTCATCGGACACGTGATACCGCAGGATAGTCCGAACCCCGGAACCACTTCGACTCGGACTCGAATTCTCGTTGAACGTTGTGTGAGAGAGTGTTTGTTCTTGGGAATTCCAGCTTTATTGTCTTCGCCCAGGATCTGTTGTATATCGTGGAACTTGCAATGGTACTCGACAGATCAGCATCGCGCCGAAGATTAGGACTGGCTACATGTGATGACGTCGCAACAGTACCGTGTAGTGGAAGCGGTACATATAGCTCTAGCTCATACAGGAAATGGTGTAGGTGGTGCTTTGACTGCAATGAATAATCTTTGAAAGAATGAAATTTTACTGTCGCAGGAATCCGGTTTTGTGCGATAGTGGTACGGCAATAGAATTTTGGAGTGCGGCAGTGTCTTTAAGCGTGTTCTATACAACTTGAAGCTCCGAGGCTTACACACTGTTACTTTAAAATCCCTGAACCACCTGTCCCATTTTGTGAGGTTTTCCGGTCATCAAAGTGAGTCTAGGAGCTTACGGTATTGTCTGAATAGTATGCTCATACCGACGCTCAATTATAAACCAAGGCGGCTTAAGTCATCCCGACTAAGTATACATGCGCATATCCATCATTGTTAGTTATCTTCAGCATTCGTCTGTCGAGTTGAATTTCTATTGCGGACTCAACCGGGTAACTCTTCTGATAGTTCTGATTTGAGATGCCGCATATTTTGCAAGCTGCGGAGTCCGGATGGCTTTCAAGTGTGTTGGTTATCGTGTAGCGACGGTCTGGTGTTACAGCAAAGCTTTTCAGAAGGTCGAATGGGTGGAGCATATGATTGATTGTAATCCGCGTCGAGAAGTCACTACTGCCGATTATCACAATGTCCTTGAAGGCTCTCAGACCTGCGAAAATTATGGATTCATGCGAGCATTTATCCTTGAAGGTCAATCGGCCCGGGTGATTCTTGGACTCTACATTAGCTGATCAGGCACATGAAAATTTCTTCCAAGGAAACTCATAAATCGAAGGCTGAAGGCACTCTCATACAAGAAACCAAGACCGGATTCAACCGGCTTCCGGAGTGTTCTCATAGTAGATATCATCCTTGGTCGGCAGCCACTAAGCAGTGTTCTGCGTGCGGTGTCTCGTATTGCAGTACAGAATGCCAGAAAGCTGCTTGATGCAGGTGTATTTTCGAATCCGCCACGGCCAATAAACACGGCTGATCACTTGTTTCGCGACGCTTATAGCGATCAAAATGATCCAGCAATCCCCAAACGCGCGAGGACTATGGCTTCACAAAAGCAATGACCGTGAGCGATGAAGGAAAACCTTCCGGCCTCTGCATAAATCTCTGGAGAGTCAGCGGAACGCTTGTGAACACACTCGAGGCCACATGAGTCACTGGATACCTTTGGGGAGGTTATTATCCTTGATCCCTAAGAATGAGTATTTGTTGGATCATTCAAAACCGATGCCTGGGGGTCCCATTCAGGAGATGGAGATTCATGCCCGCTGACATCCTCGAAAGAGGATTTCAGACAGATACCATGTGTCTGCATGGCCGAAGGGCGAGCGCGCATACTATAAATTCTGCCACTTGGTGCTTTCAAAGTATTATATACCCCGCATTAGCCCCAATACCACTGCCGGTGGGTGAAGTTAGGGTTTTGCACTTGTTCGTGGCTATATGATACGCACAGATTGGCCGCCCGATATTTATCGCTCACTCCTCGACAAGTATACATTCGAGCGATTCTGGTCCATCTACCAATCATCCTGTCTCTTATCTTGAATCCGAGGATTCAGAACGGTCCATACAGACGGCCGTGTATCCCTCTTTCAGATCGAATCTTCAAGACGTACTTGCAAACTCACCAAACGCGTTTAAGCCCGTGTGGCACCTCAAACAATCTGTCCTATCCGAGGATAATAATGCAAGACCATACAACTTCGTGGCCGTCAACTATGGATCTGTCCATTGTCAATCGCTGCTTGAGCGCGACGATGTGAAGAGCCTCTTCAAGTACGTCTTCCGAAAAAAATTCAAATAACCCTTCTTTAATTACACGATGTAGCCATCAACGGGAATTTTTTTGAATTCGTTGATGAACACATGACCTTCAAATACAATTAGCGAGCGAAGTTTATGAGGCTTACGAAGAATCCTTACCCTTTGCTGTATCCCTAGGTGGGCATTACCCCTTGCACAGCAGTCTAATCTTAATTTCGAAGCTTGCTAGTTCAGCTTACATCAACGAACCACAAGAATGCTGGCGTACAAATATTAAAAGGGCTACCTGTGAATAGCTGAAAGGTGGCCGGCGATACTTTATTGCACGTTATGAAAAGGTTCCACTGCAATTAACCTGCTCATAAAAGAGATCTAAGCTAAAACCCGTTGTGTCTAAGACCGAGTATGGATGTCAAAAATGTGATACGAAATTGCTAGAAAATAAGATAGATGCCATGACTTGCCGTATCGTTCGTGTATGATACGCGTAGCTGAAGATGATCATGGACGTGCCAATTCATACCAATCCGCTAAGGTCCGCGCTCATCGTCGAACCATGAGTTTATACGTCGACCAGCCTGCCAGTACCGCAAATGCTGCCAGCGCTCCTATAATAGCGGAGAACCACGCATATCCCTGCATGAACCAAAATTTGGTCAACATTCATATCATCAGTCATCATGACGTTGCTTTACTTCTACTACATCTTGCCCTGGAACATGCACGTTCATCCCCCAGAGACCAGTGACGAGGTTCATGGGAATAAGAACTGTGCCCAGCGCAGTGAGTTTTGAGAGCACGTCATTTATCTGATTATTAGCCTCGGTCATTTCAATGGAGATCTGCGCCAAGTAGTTTGAGTGAGAGCGCGAAAGAATCTTCTCATAATGGTTAAGATTCTGCGTCATAGTAATCAAGTGGTCTTGAATATCGGAGAGATACAAGCCCTATGATCATCATTGCATTAAATTCACAAGTCGCCCAATCTCAAGGGGATATTCTTACAATATCTGAGGTGGGGGCTACACGCCAGTTCTCATTGCATCGTTTTGCCAGACCCTTCACGACGTCGGCCTTGTTGCCCATCAGTCTTAACAGACCCATGACCTTCTTGCGACACGTCCCAATCCTATAAGGCCAACCTCGGTGTACTGTAATTGAAATTGTGCAAGGAAATACACACCTCCTCAGCATGTCACTCTGCTCAGCCTCTTTCAGAATAAGCACGAGTTCATCGATGCTGTCAACCTCATACTCGATGCTCTGGATGAGCGGGCCAAACGCGTCCGTGATATCGTCAATGAGAGCATACGAGATCCAATCAGATGTTACGCTGATATAGTCCTTTAGCTGCTTAATCCGCCGTCGAACGTTCTGGGGATGGGGAGTCGGGCGGAAATGGAACTGGACTCTCGACTCAGCACCGAAGGAAGACACTGCGTCCAGACCCAACTCACCGAAAGAATTCCCTCACGGAAGACAATGATGTACATGTTCAAGGGCTCTAGATAGGTTGGGCTGTATGGGTCCTGGTCAAACCCGCGGAAACATACAAGATAATAGTTTCGAAAGAGCTCGATCTTTTCTCGTGTCTCTTCCATTTGGATATCTTCTGTCGTCAATGGATGGATAGAGAATACCTACATGGGGATAAAAGAGCGTCAACCGCTGTTAGAAATATCCACAACAGTTGAACCGACCTTGCTCAACAGTTTCATCTCTTCATCCGTTGGAGATAGAACGTCGAGCCACCAAGTGCAGCTTTCTCCGCTGCCGTCGCCGATACCTCTTCCCCCACCGTTCGACTGCTTCCCCGACAGTGCTCCAAATGCTACAGGATTGAAGGCCGGTGACGTCACTCCAGATCTAATACCTAGAACTGGGCTTGTAATCGAACTGCCGTTCGTTCCCATCCGAACGTTCATACCCGGCCGAGTAGGGTTGACATTAGTCGCTGGTGTACGCCCAAGGAACAGGTCCTCAAAGCTCTGACCTTCTGCGGGAAGCTCGCTCAAGCTGCGTGCATGGATCGTTGCCGACAAGGCATTGGAGTAGAAAGAAAATCGATATGGTCTATCATGTCCAGACCCCGGGCCTCCACTGAGTCCATGTCCACCCATACCCACTCCGGCACCCGCTGGAGTACCATTTATGATATCATTGAGATTCTCGTACGACGGTACGGCGCTGAGTGTTGTTCCTGAAGTAGGAGGTGCCGCGCCAGGTTGCTCGAACAATGCAAGCTTGCCTCGCCGCGGAGCTCGCTCGCTTTGCGAAAGCTTTCGATGACGTGCACGAGGAATTGTGAACAGCGTGCTCGCACTGGGGCTTGCATCTGGCTCACCCGGGCTCTGGGGCTGTGCTGCAGGTGGCCGTCCAAACGAAGTGCCTCCTACCACCCCAAGTAGAGAGCCGGGTGTCTGCAGTCCCAATCTCGCCTTCTCTTCTCGCGCGAATGCTTCCATAGGCGAAAAGTCGTGCTCCTGTCGCTCCGGAGGACTCGCAGAAGTAGGCCCAACACTTGCCTGATACATAGGTAGACCACCCTCTGGATCATTTGTGTCGAGGGAAACGAGGAGCGATGGGTCGTGGGCTGCACTAAGATGATTGAGATGCACGTCGGGAGCGGGGCCTGGGTGATAGTGCTCTGCGTTTACATTGTCCGGGTCCGACACTGCGTGAGGGCGTCCCCTTGCCTCAGTCATCGCCTGTTCCTCTTGAAGGCTTAGTGCGGGGAATTGCACGGGGGTATCAGATACGGTGGAGAGAGGTCGAGGTACAGGTGCGATGGGGGAGACATTAGGCGAGATGGTAGAGACGACAGTGTTGCTACGTGCGCGGGAGAGCTGCATGGCCATGTCTGCATCCATAGTACGCTGTCGCTCCCGCATATCCGGATCATTGGGATTGTAAGAACGAGTGAGGGTGGGCGACAGACGGGGGCGGGAAGCAGAAGTGTCGCGGTCGGCGAGATCGCCGTTGCTGCGACGTGGGCGCACAGGGGAGTGAGATTGCGAGTGCTCTGAAGAAGGACGAATTGGCATTGGCGAGCTGATTAACGAGCTCGAAAGGATGGAAGGGGGTTCAGGCGAGGCCATGCTAGACGGAATTCAGGAGTCTCCTGGAAATTCCACTTGAGAAAGCTACCACGCCTGCTAAACATTGGGAGTGAGCCAATTCGAGATGATTCAGACGACGAGCAGAGTACAGACCTAGATAGCTACTGAAGAAAGACGGAGAGCAGGAATGAGCGGACTAATCACGGATCTAGTTTGTGCGAGGGATGATCTCCACGCTGTGATTCAAGCTCGATATCTGAGGAGCTTCGCAGGCCACACGCAGCGAAGAGAAGAGACTTTGACTAACTCGACGAGGGGCAAGGGAGACCTGGGAGGTGGATGGAGCGAAGTTGAAGAGACGGCCATATGACATGACGTTCAGCGCGATCCTGTCTCTGGCCCACGTTCCAATTACAATTTTACTAGCCTTCTGATAACAAAAACAACAACGGTAAAGCAGCCAAATCTAACCACTTGTAGCCAGTCTCAATGCAGAATACAGACCGCCGCTTATTGTACACACACTTCCTCTCCATGCCGGTGCGCTTTCCCTTCGCTGCCCTCGCCATATGTTCCGCACTTTCCCTCCTCCTCTTCTACCATTCTGGCCCAGATATTGCTTACACGCTCTCCCCACAAGGATGTCGTATGTCATGGATGTCGCCTTCTTATGTCCTCCAGTCCGCCTTTGATGACAGCTGGTCTCCTTTCGCCTCCCGCTACTCTCTCTTTCTATACCGCGAGGTCGGGTGGGAGTCGCCTGGTGAGGTAAGGTCTTATCGTGTCTGCTCATGTGTAATGTCATCAAGAGATGAACCCGCCGGCAGCGCAGCTGCATGGTTCCCCCGTGCTTTTCATCCCCGGAAACGCAGGGTCGTCCCATCAAGTCCGGTCCATAGCCTCTTCTGCGACTCGCCAATTCTTCTCCTCTCCGTATCATATATCCCCTGAATTCGCTAAGAATGGCCGTAAAGCCTTGGATTTTTTTGCCCGTACGTCCCTTTGTCCTCGATTCTTCCACTCGCACCTATGTTTGCAACTCGGTCTGTACCTATATTCCGTTTCATAAGGTCGTGTACACGCAAGCATGCTTGCGGAATCGCCTCCTCCACGTGTTCTTTTGCAACGCGCTTAGATTGCATTCGGCAACTTCTGCCCTCGTCATGTACTAATCCAACTCTATTTTAGTCGAGTTCAACGAGGATCTGTCGGCCTTCCATGGTTCCACTCTTGATGCAGAAATCAGATACGCTCGATCCGCAATTGACTACATACTCTCCTTGTACGCGGCTGGTTCACAGCCTGCCACCATAACCGTACTCGCACACTCAATGGGCGGAGTCGTCGCGACCGCTCTACTTCCCCACTCTAATATCTCTGCGCTAATCACCATGTCCACACCGCACACCCTCCCGCCTGCACGCCTCGACCGACGGATTGAGGCAATCTACTTCTCGAATCAAGATGTGCTACTGTCTGATTCGACGCCCATCCTCTCGTTATGCGGAGGTGCTACAGACCTCATGGTACCCGCGGAGTCGTGTATTTTGCATGAACCGCTGTCGGAGACCGACGGGCATGCGGATATATCCCTTCCATATCGAAGGACAGTATTCACAAGTGCATTGGAAGGCGCATGGACAGGCGTTGGACATAGGGAGATTGTATGGTGCCATCAGGTGCGATGGCGTATCGCAAGAGCCGCGCTGGAGCTCGCTACCGTATCCTCCAGAGTTGAACGAGAAAACGTGCTTGACAAGTGGTTGCGCGATGGACACATGCTACCTCCGGCCTCGCCTTTCGATACCGGTTTGGACTTGAATACGCTACGTGAAGATGAAATCGAGTACCTAGAGACATTGACGCCTCTTGTGCTTTCCGGACCCACGCACTCTCGCACCTATCTCCTTCCCATCCCGCACTCTGCGCTGAGGATCAGTTTCACACTTTACCTCTCTCGTGGCTCATTAGCGCCAATCGCATCTCACACACCGCTGCCCCTCCGAATTTCTGTTTTCCATTGCCAAGGTAGTGCATGTACAACGTTGAAACCGACCACACTGAAGCTCGTGCCGGAGCCTATCCCGAATAAGCCATTCCCTGCGCCTGATGAGGGGGCCGATGAGAGCGAAGGTGTGATCGTCTTTGGTAGCGAAGTGTCAGGAGGGACGCATATAGCGATACGAGTTGAGGGAGCAGATGGGCGAGGATGGGTTGTTGCTAACTACGACAATCCGAACTACGTGGTCAGTGATGTAGGACCATTGGGTACGTTTGAGCCCAGTTCATTGGCCGCTTACTGAGCGTAATATGATTACCTAGGTCTGATATTCTCCAAAGCGAATGTCGTACTGCAGGAGGATTCTCTGAGGACAGACATGCATTTTCCTCGCCTACTCTCAAATGCATTGCTGGTGTATCGGGCTGTGCCCGTATTTAAGGATTCTTCCTCTTGTGCAGGTCTGTGGTAATATCTAATTTTAAAAATGCGCAGCTCATCAAATATCGCATACATTGTATAGATGCACTTCTTCCACCCTTACTGCAGCATACCTCCCATCCCTCCGAAACGCATTATTTCCGTCTCGTTGCTCAAGAACCCAGTCCTCGGCCAATTCTCCTACACTCACACGCATCCGGACCATTCCTCTCCTCTGATATCAAGCATCCCATTTTCAGTACCGGATGCAACCTGACGATATATTCGTCTAATGAGCAGAAGTGCGCTGTGAGTAGCATAGAAATCTCCATTGATTGGTGGGGAACGCTTGGGCGATGGGGATCCCGTTATGCGCAGGCGGCGGTTACTTGGGGGGGAGGGGTGTGCGCATTACTTATATGCTCTTTCTGGGGTGTAAGCCCGTATATTACAGCAGCAACCTCAGTCACGCAGTCCCTCCATCACTTCATCTCACATACTTTTCCTCGGCTGCTCTTGGCTTCTGTCCTCGTCTCCTTGCTTCCATTACCCGTCCCATTCTGGGTGGGAAACGCAGGCGAGCCTATCTTCGTGGCTGTGGCGCCTATCCTGGGAATAACCGCTGTGGGCTTGGTGGTAATAAGCTGGATCGTATTGCGGATCTCCGTGAGTGCGGCGGCATGGTTTTTGAAAAAAGTGGGTAATGTGAGAAGGTAAGCGACGATGCTACCTTGTAGCTCAATATCTAATTTTTCTGCAAGACATAGAGAAGATCTGAGCCATCGCAGCAGTGCCCTTATCTCTATGGGGTTTGTGTTCCTCCTGATATTCGTGATCATACCATGGCAGGTAGCCTTCCTCGGGGCGTGGATATACCATTTCTACACCTGCGCTGTGCATTTCACATCTGCGTCGCCGATACAGGCATCTTCCAACTCCAGTGAAACAATCTCCCTCATGCCCCGCCTTCACTCGTCGCCGTCGAGGTTGTCGATTTCATTGGAAAATTCACAATCACCTGAAACACAACTTCCTCCTTCGCCATTGCCGCCGCAACGTGTAGCGTCGTTATATCCCTCTGCCGATGGCTCTGCTGGGAACGAACAACTGCACTTGCTCCTGCTGATGACCTGGCTCCTGCCGATCGTTGCACCCGTACTTGCTGTCTGGGTCCGTACAGTAGGGAGCTCGGGAATCCGCGCTATATGGGGATCCGGGTCGGGTTGGGGCGCAGATCGGAACGTGTTTGTTGTTGCGCCATGGTTAATCACGGTAGAATGGGCAAGTGTCGGCGGTGATTTTATAACTGCAAGGTGAATGCTGTGTGCCACATTGATGTCCTTGTGTTGATCTAATAAATGCTACAGAACCGGCGCTGCACGCGTTTCCGCGAGACTTGGCATGATTTTGCTCGCAATAGTAGCCTTCTTTGTGGGACCGCGTCAGGCATTCATCGTGTTGGAAGTGTCGAGCGCCGTCTTAACTTTGGTGCTCGTGCACAATGTGGGTCCACGGTATTGGGGAGGTCTGGGCTGGAACCTGTAGCATGCGTTGGATTGTCGATATTGATCACTGTAAGGACACGGCCTGATCAATCGATCACTCCTTGAAGGACCAGGTCAACCCAAACATGACTAGCACCATTGGCGACAATCTCTTCTATGCTTGTCGTATCCCTTGTAACTACCACTTTAATGAGGGTGTGCAGTGTGCTAGTAGCGTCGACATCTTGAGTCAGCCTGAAGCTTGTGAACAGTGAGTGCCTTGTGGGCTCTGATCCGCGAAGAGATCAGATGCGCTCCAAATCTCATCTTTGCCGAAGGTTGTGACCGCCTCGAGCATTGACCACTCGGTATTGGATTATTGTCAGACTCACAGAGCAAAGACCCAGCTGCGTTACTTGAGAGGTTACAGTCACAAGAGCGATTTTGAACTTCGAGTACTGCCTCTCGCTGGTCGCCGTTGACTTGACATCGACTGCTAACAGCCTGAGATCCCATCACTGGCGACTGGATACATCCTGGCGGCGACTCTGGCTCAGAGCACTGTCTTTCGACGTTCTCACTGTCAGCAGCTGGCTGCCTCTTTACCCCATACCCAATTCCTTGTGGTTT